TACTAAAATTGTTTATACTTGTGATGAAGGGGGAAGTCATTTCTTTATATATTTCTTTTCTCTTCCTTTACAATATTATTTTTTCCTTTTCTATTTTTTTTCTTTTCTGCACCTTCTATTTTTTCTTTTTATTCATTTCTTTTTTTTTAGTTTGTACTAGTTTTTATCTTTGCAATTGTAATTTTTAATAAAATTATTATTAGAAGAAAGTATGATTTGATTGCTATCATTAAGACAGGCACTACCCAGGCAAATCATGATGACTGACATTATCCTGACTTGTTCTGAGAACAGTCAATGAAGATTCCATTGCTTTCCTAGGTGGCTTCTGCCATGGAGAAGCTGTTTTTCCAATAAGGGGAAGGTCCCCTAGCCTCCTGCCATAACACTTAATCTACTCTCTCATGACAAAAGAGATAGCTATTAGTGTTTATAATATTTCTGGCATCTTCCAAACAGACTTTCAGGACTGCAGTTATTACTGATACAACTATTAACCCTGGCTCTTTATAGCTCTTCTTTTTAAAGAAATTGTGGACAGAATGAAGACAAAGGTAGTAGAAAAGATAGCTATCTCTATATAAGGCCATTAGCCTATAAAAGTGCAAATTCTTAGTAAGAAAAACTATATTGTTTAAATTATTTTGAATCAATTCTTGAAAGTTTAATTTTTAAACTAAGGCTAATCATTATGTATAATAATTTAAACTGGAAATTAGGATAATAAAGTATTTTATTCAGGACTGGTACTAATAATAACTGATTTAAATAATTATAATGGATTGATTGCCTGGATTTAAATGATTCAAATTATATAGTACTTGTTATGTGATGTCTATTTCCCCTATATTGTATGGTGACTATCAAATATTACCAGCAATTAATCTGAACTAAACTAACATGCTACAATTATGCAAATAAATAATGTCAAAAAGCTGCTTACTTTAATTTTAGCGCCAAGGGAATAGTGTAGAAGAAGACGTTGATTTGAAAAACACAGACAAAAAAGAGACTGAAGTGTTCAAACATTTCAGCAAAGAAGTACCAGAAAAGGCCAACGTTGGGTGTCAGGTCTGGAACAGAAAGGCTGAAATTGACAGAATATCTTCATTACTGAATTATCTATAACTTTATTTATAAAATTATAACCAGATTCACAATTAACTTCCAAAAGATGACTGTTAGTATATTCAGAAAACACACCATAAACAGGAAAAATGTTTCTGCTCACTACAAAGACTTGCATATGAAATTAAACATAGGGATTTTAAAGGTACCTTTAAGATACCCTTGTTTGTTAGATTTATATTCAGCCTTTTCTTCAGGAGCAAAAGGTAGTGGGCAGAAGGTTCCCTCCTTCCATCTTTCCCCAGATCATCTCTATGAGGTAGGTTAGCTTGAGAAAGAGTGATTTACTGAAGAAACTTCCCTAAAGCTGGAAGGGTCATATACTTGTTTCTTTTTAACTCTGATACAGACTACAAGTTGTTCAGAAACATACTCAGCCTAAGCATGACAGCTCACAGTGACTCCAAGGATCTGAAAAGAGAACTTATTGAATTCTGAACTAGTTTGCTGCAGGAAAGATGAAGGATAAGCAGCCTAGCCAGTTATTGCTCTTCTCAACTGCAAAATATATTTTGTCAATCCTTCTATCATATCTAACAGAAGGAAGGAACTAGCATTCATCTGAGAATGTCTTTGATGCTTATATAAAAAACATAAGTCACTATTGCTTGCTTTTTTTTTCACAGCAAGTTTCTTTTCCTTTAACAATTTTATTTTGGCGTTTGGAGGGTACTTATTAGTAAAAAAAAGATATTAAAAACTCTCAATCATAAATAAAGGAGCAGAAAATAAACATCCATATTCAGTATTCTACCACAAAAGACAATAATATACATAATATATTAGAACTATCATTTAATACGTTTGGTCATTAGTAGCTCAGAAATAATCTAAGATCATGCTGATTTTTTTCCATGGACTAAAACAAGTTGCAAGACAAATGTCAGCAACTACATTTGAGTCGTTTCAACAAGATGGGAGGTAACAAATTTGATAAATAAATTTTTTAAAAAAATAAAAACTATCATCCAAAACTAGTGACAGCAATTTGAAAATCATAACATTATGTTGTTGTTTTTTAACTACCCATTTTTACACTGACATGTCTGGGGAAATCAATGCTCGGAAACATCCTGAAAATTCAAAGACACTAAATGGACAATGTAGTCCAAAGCACAGCACTACACAGACCTTCCTACAAACTATTTCTAACAAGTGCTAATCTAACCTACTTTCCAAAAGCCACTAAAGATGATTCTTCATCTTTTATATGCAGCTTATTACTTGCACTGTTGCAGTAGTGAACACACCTTTTCTCATTCCACAGAATTTAAGCCTTGAATGTTTTAATCATCCAATTCACACCTAAATGTCAATACAGCTTAATCACACTTCTGCTTATCTGAATACATTAAACACTTCCCAAACCATTCAGATAAACAAAGTTTTACTATTTAACCAGAATTCTGAAGCAAGAAATTTCCTAATTAATAAGGCATTGAACAAAACCAAGTATTTTAAAAATAGAAGGTTTTATTCAATCATTTGTTGTTGTTGTTTTTGGTTTTATACTATGGACCCACGACTTGGCAAAAAGACCTTTGTCATATATGTAGGTGGTTACAATGCAGACAAACAATATCTACTTACATGAAACCATAAACAGATGGAATGAAATCCCATGAATTCAGGAGGAAGAATGAGAGGCAAATTATCACTATAAGACTTCCCAAATATAGTCCCGCATATTGTACGGTATACAACCAGAACTCTTTGCTTTTCATTTTGATTGATATGAACTGACGCTAAGGAGGGAAAAAAATTAGCACAAAATATATTTTTAAAAAGGCTATATGTAATTTCTTGCAAGCAAAAAGCATGAGAAAGATTTCTTTAAATTATTTAACACTTCTACTTCTGATAGAAATGAAGACATTAGAAGAAAAAATGCTACAGGAAGATTCACTTTCAAGCACATATAAAAATCAATAAACTATTGTGCATATGATTGCATCTCCTTTCCTTCATAGCCAGCTTGATCTAGGTGAAGGAAACTGTCTGGATAGGTCTAGAAAATGAAAATCCATCTTTGCAGGAAGGGCTGGTGCAGGATATCTTGAAGGAGTTGATAGTGGATCCACTCTAGATTCTTCAGTTCTTAACTATTTTATACCCACAGTAGTGTCCCCATTCTAGGAAAAATGCTCAAGAGATTGCTGCCTGTACATCTAGAGATGCAAATTATGCACCCCAATCCAATCTGGGTTCGGGCCTGAATCAGCCTTGGTTGCCTTAATTGACTGAGCTTCATGGGAAGAGAAAAAGGTACATCAACCCTTTGGATTTCCTTGATCTCTTAAGGACTTTTGAAACTATCAACCATGGTAACCTTCTGGATTGACTCTGGATTAGGAGTTGAGAGAACAGCGTTAGAGCAGATCCTCTGCAAGGCTGTATTCAGAGGAATGGGAAAGAGGTAAGTGAAACAGAATCACTGCCAATTGCAATGTTCTTCTGGACCTGATTCCAGAAAAATAGCTGTCAACAGTAGTTCCCTTGCATCAGTGAGATCAGCATAGATAATGCCTTACATATTTCACCATTTCCACAATAATTTTAGTCACAAGAGGTAAGATCTCTGATCCCATGAAGATGACCTACAAGCAATTTGCAGTTTGCCTTCTCATTCTAGCCACCAGCCTACTAGCAATCTTGCAAATGCTAACAGCTGTGCAGTATTAGCAATTCATGGTGGCTAATCTTTTTATTTACTGAAAACATTAAAAAGAAGCATTTGCTCCTATAGAATAGATACCTGTAATAAATAGAGAAGTGCTGGTGCAAACAAGGTAAGAGGGTACAGAGATTGATATGTTGCTAATGCCAGAAATATAGCGCTCAGAAAGGTACTACCTGCAAAATACAGGGAAAAAAGTGTAAATAGCTAATAACAAAAAGCTTCTGGGCCAATGTGAAAACATAATCTCTTAGCATTTGCAGTACTTAATATTTACGGTAGGTCCATATAAAATGTGGGCTCGCAGAGATTCTGAGGAGAGACATTGTGCATTCTGTACTAACCTGTAAAATCCACACATGTTGGTGCCTCAGTCATAAGGCTGTAATGTTTTAATATCACAAAAAGGCACCTGCTGCACTGGTTTCCCTCACCAGTTCAGCACAGTAACTCTAAACTGAGAGCAAGTGGTCTTGGTGCCTGGATGTGACCTAAGCCTTAACTGCATTAGGCTTAGCCATTAGGAACAAGTGAAGACATGACAGAAACCAGGATTTTTGTAATGATGATATCTGTATTAATAACAGTTCTTCCCCTTCCCATTCAGGCAAACAAGAAGAACAGTATAATTAAGATTCTCTTGTGGTCCTTATGAACATTAATACAATTGCGTCACTTCTAAGGAAATCTAAGAAATTTATATGTCCCACATGCAAACATAGGCCTGCAGCAAGTATAACTATATTAACGTGTATCACATATTCTCATTGAGAGGAAATTGTTTTAGAAGTCTATGCATCCCAGGTGATTCTACTGAACTTTGCATTATTTTTCTATTTGCTTGTTTACCCAGAACTATATTTTTTTATGTTTTAGCAGAACTGCCACACAATTGTAATGAAAATGGCTCTCAATATTCCACTATTTAAGATGTGAAAGAATATCCTGAAAGTAGATGCAGATTGCTGTTTCAGAATTAAAAGCCCATATAATCCATTTGACCAAAAATGTTAGGCAGAAACTCAAAACAATTAAATATGTTTATAAAAAGCATTGTTTTGCCAACTGCAACATGCCAGTGAAACATGGAAGACAATGTGGTGAGCGGCACAAAGACTTTCCACCAGCGCTGCCTATGAAAGATCCTTAGCATTACCTATCACAATTGTGTTACCAATGGTGAGATCCTATAAAGAAGTAACTCACATTGGATACAGGACATTGTGATAGAACAGAGGATAAGTTTTACGTCCTCCAAATCAGCATCATGCCAAAACCACAATCAGCTGGACACTACCCGGAAGAAAATGGAAGAGATGCAGACCCCGTACAACTTCGTGCAGAACATTCCATGAAAACTTGTAAGTTGCTGATGTCCCATTGGAACAACCAGAAACAACTGCAGCTGATCAAAAACGTTGGAAAGAACTTGCTGACCGATGTGTACAGTAGCACAAGGGGATCTATTACTACATGAAAAGCAAAATGCATTACCTTTTATTGTTGCCAAAATGAAGAATGCAATTATAGCATTGTTGATGGCACAGGTGGATTTTGCTACACAAGACAACACAGTGTACGGATTCAACAGGTAACTGAAAAAGAAAAGACATCCAAAGTTCATATATATATGTCAATTACTTCTTTTTCCTTTTCATGAAAAAAACATAATAGCCTTACTAGATTAAGCCAATCTTAGCTTACTCTAAAATCTTAGTCCAGCATCTTCTTTCTCAAAATGGCCAAGCAGATGCCTCTTGAGGTGTTTACAATTGGGAGGTAGAGACATACTCTTCTTTCATTTTTGTTACTCTGCAGCTGGTATTTGGAGGCATGCTGTCTCAATCCATGGGTAAGATTGAGTCTCAAGATTAATAACCCTTATTAATCTTGATGGATCTGTCTTCCATGAATTTATCCAATCCTGTGACAATGAATTCCACAAATTAGTTGTGTGCTTGTGAAGATGTGTTCTCTTCTGTCTGTCCAAAATCTCCTCCCAATCAACTTCACTGGATGAACCCCAGTTCTAGTGTTTTGAGACAGGAGGAAAAACTTGACTTTGTCCACGTCCTCCATGGTTTTATACACTTCAGTCATGTACCCCTGCAGTTGTCTTTTCTCCAAGCTAAAGCATCCCAAACATCCTAATCTTTTCTTATAGAGAAGATGCTGGATCCCACTGAACAGTGAGGGTTCTCTTCCAGCCCATTTCTTCTTTGAACACTTTGCCCCTTTTCATCACTAGCTGATAACCAAGGCATGTGCAACTGCAATTATTCAAAACTATCAACATTAGATTAAGAGCTACTTGGGGGAGAAATTTGTCTTTTTTGTTTAAGTTGCTCTAAGTGTGAAAGTGTGAAAACTACCAGGCAATTCAATTCTGGCATCTCATTTTGACCTCTGGGATGTAGAGGTTTTATCATGTAAGCGCTGGAATTCTGTCAAAAAAAGTATTGTTCTCCTAAATCAAACTCCTATATTTCCCAGCACTGCCCAAGATGGAGGAAAGGGAAGCATCAGAGAAGAAAAAGTACATTTGTAATACAGTCCATTCAGAAAGACAATGATATTACACAGGAATACATACTT